AAAGAGTAAAATTGATATGGGTACGAACTCGTAATCTTTCATTCAATCTCTTTCTTCTCTTTACGTGCTGGGAAAGAAGAAATTGTCTGGTAAAATGGAACATCTCAGATATATAGCCTGCTTCTCTCTACTTTGGTACTTAATAAAAGAAATAAGTTTAGTATATACACTTTATAATGCTGAGATAAATATTCAAACATGAATATAATATTAACAAATATGTAGAAGGACTTTTCATACACAAAATAAATAACAATAAATAAAGGGCAAAGTAAAAGTCAAACACATTTTTTAAATAGTCATACAATTAAAGGAATAAATTACAAATAAAGAAAAGTAAAATTGAAAAAAATATATATAATAAAAAAATTCAGTTTAAATTCAAATATAAATCGTTACAAGTTTCGGCTACCAGATTGAGCCCTCTTCAGACATTAACTTATCACAAAAATCGCTGTACAAAATTAATTATCGAAAATGACCGCATATTCATTATAATAACAGCTCGGGTGAGTCTTGATGTAGAACTCGACATTATTCACATATTTGAACAGTCAAATGTGTTTCATATCTCTTGGAAAAAGTTCTAGTTGATAAAAAAATACAATAAAAAGATTTCTTACGAAAAAATAAACACGATCAAATTAACATACCGGAATTCTAACAAGTAATTAAAACTTACCAAAAATTATGTACAAACAATTATTACAAACAAGTGTGTCCATATAAGTATGAAAATTAAGATGTACAAAGTATAATGGAACGCAGATGTGTGAGACGGATATTGTATGTCGATTATAATGTACGTTCGCTAATACGGATCATAGACTGAGATGAAAGACGGACTGTCAGTAACGAAGAGTCAAACTTTGTTTACAATAGGTATATATGCCTTATGGAGACCTTTAGTGTCAATTTGTAAATTTAAACTATTTTTTTGTTTTTTAATATTGAGCATCTCAGAAATTAAACGTTTCTTATAGCAAAGCTCTTCATCTCAAATTTTAACATTGTCCCATTGGAAATCATAATCATATTGCAGCCTGTGCTCCGTAATAACAGGACGGACAGAAGTGCTATGTCTAATACGATTACGATGTTCTGTAATTCTGGTTTTCAATTGTCTGCCCATCTGTCCAACGTACGACGCATCACAATTATTACACGAAATCTTATAAACTACATTGCTCTTAGATGTATGGAGACAAAGATTATACTTTAATATATTTAGCCATTTTATTAGGATTATGAAAAGATACCCTGATATCGTTTTTGTTAAATCGTTTAAATTTCTCTGTGTGAAAAGGAATAAAAGATACCGTAAGCCAAGATGTAGATTTATTCGCACAGACATTGTCAACCAAATCTTTACGTATTATGTGTTTATTTTTCAGTAATTTTTTTTATACGTTGATTAACTGTGTCAAAAATAAAAGTTAATGGATAGTCATTATCTAATAAAACGTTAATAATAAATGTCAAATTTGTTGTGTGAAACATAAAGTCAGAAAGTAAAAAAGCTCTGTCAACTAGCGAAAAAATTGTATCTTTCTTTGGTGCAATTGGATGATTTGAGTGGAAGTTTAAAAATCTCCCTGAGAAAGTATGTTTACGGTACAGTCAAAAACAAATCAATTATTAATAATAATAGATATTGTAGTGTTCAAAAAATCTAATTTTTCTCCCCCTACGTCTTCAATTTACTATAGAAATAGGGGGAGAAAAATTATTACGTACCATCTCTACGGAAAAGTAGTTTTGGAATGAAAAAAAATATTTTTGAAAGTCTGTTAAGGAATATTTATTGTAAATGTATATTTTTCAACAAAGAACAAGAAATGCTAAAAAAAAATTCGGCTTTAACAGATAAGATTACATCAGATAACGTTAGAACATTTTTTAAACACTTTCCCAATCCCAGCGCTCTTTTCCGTAACGAAAGGTTTTCATTTGTAGATTTAAATCAATATTTAGATAATTGTAGTCTTTATTTTGCGGACCAGTTAGTGGTAACCATAAATTTGTAGTAGGCGTTGGATTTCTAAAAATCAGTTTGAATTAATATATGAATATTTGTAGGAATTAATGTATGTTTGCAGTTAGAATTAATATATACGTTTGCAGAATTTGTATAAAATAAGGAAAAAAATTCTTATACCCTGTTTTAGCAAAATCCGTCCACATTTGCACAAAATAATTTACTATTTTGTAATCATTTGAACCAGGTTTGGGACAAGTAAGGTTAGAATTTGATTTTACAGCTTCTGGGAAAAATAGGTAACCTAAATCCTCTGTATGGCTCACTCCTGCAAAATATTATTATATTTGTAAATTATTCTTAAAAATGCAGATTCATCATTTTCAAATTTACATTTCCTCTAAATTCTTTAGTTTTCTAAATATTTGTATATGTTAATTTTTTTTAATATTAATTTTTTTATTCCATAAGATATTTTTATCATTACTTTTATGCACAATTATTATAATAATACAGTTGAATATAATAATTGGGCCCATAATTTCAGAAGTAATAGCATTAGCTGATAAAATGTATTTGTACTTTTTGACGTAAGATATATTATGTGGTTGTAATAGTAGCGACAATATACCTGGAAGTCCGATATCTAATACTGTTCTAAAAGGGGAAGTTTCGCTCTCATAATCGAAATGATACAAATACGTCGATTTGAAATAACCAGAACACTGTTGCGATTTAACTACATCTCTTATGCCGCGTACGAAAAATTCATCTCCTTTGTAATCTGAATAATTCATCAAAGTTTTTTCTGTTATTTCTTTATTTCCAAAATAGTGGTGTCGTAATTCCTCGACAGTAATTCCTATTTCAGGTAACTCGGATAATACATTTGGTAGTATTCCCTTTTTAAAATCATCATTTACTGTCTGTATATCTTCGTCGCTCATATCTGAAACAATTTTAATTTTAAAAACATGATTATATTGATCACTTTTGAAATATTGCATATCGAACGAATAATATTTCATTTTTGATAAGAAATAATTGATTTCATAAGTTCATGAAAAATATCTATCTAAAAAATAACATATTTTTATATTAATATAAAATTTTCATTTTAATATAAAAATATGCCAATTGAGATATATAATATATATAAAATATATACAAGTATATTACTATTAAATGAAAATAAATAATATGCATATTTGTATATTTTATTTAATAAATTTAAATGTTGGTGAACACAACCTATAAAATTATTTTAGAATAATGTAATTATTTAATATATTTTGAAACAATATATTTGTTTAAGGATTTACTGAATTATTTAATAATTATAATTCTTATACATATACTTAAAAATTGCAGTAAACAAATTTATTTTTAATATTATAAAAACGTCAAAATTATTATTATGGAAATCTTTTTATAAATGTTGACAATGTATTTATTAAAGGTCAAAATTGTATTATTCTAAACAAGCTATATTGTAGAAAAAAATCGTGAGAAAGAGATAAAAGCGTAATAATTAAGAATATATTTGTAATACTTCTTTATTACCTCCGAAAAAGTTGCTACGAATAAGAAATATTCCTTCATCACGATTAAATCCTAAAAGGAAGGGCATTTGAATCCCGCGGCTTATATATTCCTTTGGATGTTCAGGAAAAACTGGATTCGATGACTTGCTATCCAGAGTGATCGTGAAGGGTAGAGTAAAACTCAATTCCTCCTTATCATGTTATAAATAAAAAAGATATTTATATGTTAATATTCGTAAGAAAAATTTTTTTAAAGAAGAAAAAATATATACCAAGTACATAAAAAGATACCAAATATTACATCTTTCTTAACAAAATACAAAATATATATAATTGAATAGTTGAACGAACTTACCGTGAAGTTCGATTTCAATTATGTTCTTGTCTCGTCCGGATGGGTATATGTATATATGTAATCGCATCAAAATGCATTTTGTCCTGATGCAAAGTTTTCTCAGAATTTTTATATGAACTATGACATTTACGAAAAATAGTGAGAAAGTTTATATTCTTTTTGGAACATTAATATTTAATTTCGGATATATTAAAAAATGCATTTTGATGCGACTACATATATACATATATCCATCCGGACGAGACCTGGCATAATCTATATTGTAATAAAATATTGAGATACTTACTGTTTTATTAGAAATTGCCCATAGTGAATTTTTAATAATTGTTTTTGCATCAACTGTTTTTAAAAACTCGTATGCGACTTTCGGATCTGATGTTTCCTTTCCAAGTTTTTTGGCAAGCCTAAAACCTGTGTCCATCACTTCATTAAAGGCCCAAGGATTTAAGATGACACCGCTTTGTGCGATTATTTTGTGGAATAAACCTACAAGGCATAATCGTAATAGAATTAATTCATAGATTCGTTACCATAAAAAATCTTGCTTTCCTTTCTTTCTATTGTATAATACATAATTTCACAATTTATCGATTTTTTTGAATTATTGATTCTTTAATGTTTTTGTTTGCGTCAGTATTTAAATACTTTCCTTAAGTCCGAATCTACAATAAGTGTTTTAAACCTTAAATTGTAAGAAATTGATTATGAGTCGAAACGTGCAACTACAGTTGAATATGAGGAGAATAATTGATTGTGATTCATTCATTCCTTAAGGCTTAAAAATCTATTGTCCGGGCTAAAGAAAATACCTTTAGCTAACGGAGATAGAGCTAGAGCATGTACTGTGGATGCACCAGCACTTTCGCCAAAGATAGTGATTTTTTCTGGATCTCCACCGAACGCTATTATATTTTTTTTAACCCATTTTAATGCCAAGATCGCATCCTTCACAGCTTGATTACCTGTTATCACTTCGTCATTGAGGTTCAGAAAACCTGAAAGCATATTAATTCTTTTTCTCATAAGGTCGATATATTTAAGCTAAAAGTAAATCATTATAAAATAAACAAAAGAAAAGTATTTGTTTTAGAGTTAATAAATTTTATAATTAATAATATGTACAATATTTTTTAAGACCGTAATGTGAATACACAACAAATCATCTATTATTAATAATTATCTATTTTCTATAAATATAATCTTTTGCTTTTAGAAGCATTTTAATTTTAGAAATATGCATATACTGTAATAAAAATAAAAAGTAATATCCATTCTTACTTAATTCTTGATAATAAATAAATTTATTTATTTGTTAACTATTTTTACTCTGTATTAGTATTTGATCATAACTAATAACATAATTATATATCAATGGGTTATATAAAATAAAAAATATAAATCTAAATGTATGTAC